ATTCGCAATGATCTTGGCAAGCCTTTGGCGGGGACGGTGTTTGGATATCTGATCTTAAATTAGCTTAGAGCCTTAAGAATCTATTTCTCCGTTTTCTCCGTAGTTTTACTCTCGATTGAGAAGATATACAAGTCATGTTAATCATTCGAGACTGCGTTTACGACTGTGCGTCGTATTTTCAACTGTACGTGTTCTCGTTGTTTGGAAATGTGGTAAAACATGTTTTTTCGTTCTTGATGTGGTGCTTCATCTGCCTATAGTCACATGCCATTTCACGGCCTAAAAAAGTAATTACATTCTCTTAGTCTTCATCTGCTAGATTACTTCAGTTCAGAAGGACGTCGTCTTTTCTACCCTATGAGCACAGTCTTCGATCTTCTCTTTTTTCTTTCTTTATGATCGAGGAGACTTTGCTGTTAGGGTACGTCTTTTTATTTCAGGTAAAAACAAATTCTACCTTCTCTCTTAGTTAGCGATTAGGGACCTGTTTACAGGGAGAAAAGCCGTCCCTAGTCGGAGGGCTACCCTTCTATGCCTGAACATCCTGTGCGAGAGAACTTACCAACATTTTTTGGAAAATATAAGCGAGTTGTTCACAAGTGAATTAACAAAGTCGGTTTTGGGGCCAAGGTCACCTTAGTTGGAAAGTCACTAACTTTCAACTCAGGGTGACTGTGAGGTCGCCCGAACCAACTAGTTTTCCTTGCAAGAGCTTTAGACATGTCGAGACCTATGGAACATGCGCAAACTGTGTTAGGACCAATTGTTTGGCTCGGTCAAAGGGAACAACTTTTCTCCATATCAACAGGCCCCCAGGAAAACACTAAAGCTGTAATGTTCCCCTCCACTTCGGTTAAAAATCTTAATTCTTTTTCAAACGCATAGCGTAACATTATCTTTCAAGCTCTTGTTTCATTATTTCTGTATCCTTCAACAGACAAGTGACCGTTTGTGTTCTGTGCGAGAACGTAACTGTTTGCTCGCGTGACTCGCACGGGATTTTCATTGTTATCAGAAATATCACTATGCTTGACAACTGAAGGGCAGTTCTCGATTCCTAACTGAGACGCTCTTGAATTTGGTTGAGCCAAACTGTGCATTTTCTTACCTGCGCAAAATAACAAGATTTTCCCAAACGCGTGACGGAAGTCGCGATTGCGGTGAGTGTATATGACGGGATTAACCATCGAGCCACTGTAATGCATCCATTTCGTGAAAGGCACAATGACACTGTAGTCCACTTCACACGTCCTACAATAGGTCGTTATTAGTAACATAACAAAGAACGGTAACCAAGCAACAACGAATGCTACAATAACCACCGCCAGAGTCACTGCGATGCGGATTTCCCGCGCGAGGGATCGCGAACGTCTCGCGCGTTCCCTCGTTTGCGCGATTTTGTAAATCAAAGAGTACGCTATGAGTATGATGAACAAAGGCAAGAAGAAACTCGCAGTGCTGACGAAAAGCGGATACCATTTAAGGTAGGATCCACTCACGTGATTGACGCACGCGACAATAATGGCATAAATCCACGCGGCAGCTATCGTCAGACAAATCGTCTTTCGCGATAAGTTTCGATGAATAGCAGGCTCCGTGACTGAAATACATCGCTCCAGACTGATCATCACAAGATTTATGATGGACGCTGTGCCGCACAGGATGTCGTATGTGATGTACACTTTGTAAGCCACTGTATTTACACCAGGATTGACTGCAGTTAGAAGGGAAAGAAAGAATACATAAGTACGATGTAGTTCGTGAATTTCCGCCATTCTTCAGTGCCAGTCAGAGTTTCTTCGCAAAGATCCTTACCATTCTCATTGTATTTTTTGGACAAGCAACGGAAAAAGCTCGTCCAGCCCTTTTAGTTATTATTTGTTATCCTAAAATGTATGAATTTTCGAAAGTTGAGGCAGCTCTGAACCCCTTCCGTAGAATTATCTTTAAACTGTGCAAAAAGCTGCATCTTCTGCATCTTAATACGTTGATCATATAGTTCAATACCATCACTACAGCATCAACCGATAAAGAATGTTATAAAGGCATGTTTCAAGGCAAAGTAAGAACAAATGGGTCACCACTGGGGGGGAGGAGGGGGGAGGGTGGCCGGAGAGGGAAGAGGACGTATGTCAAAGCAGGCGATGTAATAGAATCCTTCCAAGGGTAACTGACGTTTATTGCTTCATGTGACTCTGTATCCCGTTGTCAGTTTGCTTTTTCGTCATCACATTGCTTTGTCGAGTCGTCTCTCGCTATACGAAGATGAGCTCAGTTATTTCTCTGTGACCAAGGCTTGTTCGGCTTCCGTCCGGCTCAGTTTCGAAAAATCAGTTTTCCTTTAATACTATTTCAGTCTTACCACGCACGCCCGCTTTTTCAGTAAAGTTAGTAGAGGTCCAGTTTCACCTCAAATATGTCTTCCATGGACATTAATCAACTAGGTTCGGTTTTTTCCCAACGCTATCTCGGTATCCCACTTTCACTGCAATTTTGGTCAAAACAGTACTAGAATTATAACCAAGTACTTCACTCGCACATAAAAAGCTTATTAGAACACAAAGATGAAGATACTATTAAGTTAATCGTTGATGACAGAGCAAATTGTAATTAGTTTTAGCAATATTTTCTGAGATACGACTAGGAAATTTGAAACAATCCACCAAACTTTTTCAAGTGACTGACGTCATAACCTTGTGAACGCGTAACCCATTATAACACTGTTATTGTTTTGAACACTGCAATTAAATAGTAATTTGCAACAACACTGGACCAGTAGGGTTCTATCAATGAAAATGTATCTGTAAGGCCTTGACCTTTTGAGGTCATGTTTAGGAAACTTTCCCTTTTATAGCGGAAAGTTCTCCAAAGGGCTAGGACGCTGACAGGATACGTAGAGTTGGTCCTCAGACCATTCAGTCATTTTACCACTATACTTCACATAAACGCATCTGACATATATCTGTCTAAGACTAGGGACATCGGCTCGGAGACTTTGGAAGTGTTCATTCTATGGCAACTTGCGAAAACTAAAAGGGATTAGTTTGTCATTTAATCTTAAATTCCATTTGTCACGGAAATGAGGGTGTGGATGGAGTGTTTGAATTTTAGTTATTAGTTAAATTTTCGGCATTTTTTCGGCTATCGGTAAAAATGTTAGTCCATAATTTAGCTATTTGACTGACAGATCTCAGATGTCAGCTTTCATTTAAAAACATGTCATTTCTTAACTGACAGTTAAAATGGTGCCAATCAGTTTTCAGCCATTAGTTAAACGTTATCCAGATCCTCGGAAGTCTTGTCTTATAATCCAAGAAGAGGATTAGCTGATTTTAAATTTCCTTTGTTGAATCACTTCGCCTCCCTTGCAGCAAAACATCTTCTAAAAACTGAGTAAACAAGGAAAGTCAATTTGTTTACTTATGACACGCTTTGTTACGTTAGCTTGACGCACCAAAAATAATAAAACGATTTGTTTTACTTTCTTGACATGACGCCCACACATAAAGTGGTCTGAGGTATAAACGTTCACGTCCCCTTTGTAAGAAACGTCCCAAGACCATCATTGCCTTGCACTTCGTAAACAAATTAAATATTCTTGACTTGGTGAACACTACCAGCTGCAAATCAAAGCAGTTTATGGCAGACGAGAGCGATAAAAACAAAACAAAACGAAGAAAAAAAAAAAGAAAAAAAAAAGAAAAAACCCAAAAGTTTTCAAAGTTTGGAGCGTTGATTTTCTTAGAAAAACACTTTCTGTCAAGACTTGAAGTTTGTGTGTGTCATATTCACTGCCTACGTTATTTGGTGTCTCTTGACATTTTTATTTTTTGTGTTAAAGAGGTCATTATTATCAGGTCATAGTGGCTTGCCTTAAAATATTCGAATCTACCGACTGTCACTCAAGTTCAACAGTTATTTACCGCAGTGTCAGCCACGTAAGGCAAACTTACCACAAGAAAAACGTTCTTCTTTTTGAAGATATTTTATGTGTCGTAGGGACAACTGGCTGAACTTAAAACACACCTTGCATTGTACTTACCTAATAAGGGAATGACTCGATGTGATCGGAAATTAAGACTTGTGGCTAAGAGGCAAATTCCTAGAAATTTATTACGCGAGTGAGTTTCTTCGGCCAAATGGCTCGGTTAAATTAACAGCGCGAGCACAGTTTGATCACGGATTTTAATTAAAAATGGCGCATTTCGCCATGACAGAACTGAAGGAAATTACAAGATCATGTACCCCTCGGTCGCATTAGAAAAGTTGATGTAGCTAATTTGTTATATAACCTTTCGTAACCTCTAGCTAATGGATTTCGCCTTACCTAATCTAAAGTAGATCCAGTACGGGACAGAAAACACCCCAACCATTATGTCAGCGACGGCGAGCGAGACCAAATAGTAGTTTGTTTTGGTGCGAAGCTTTCGATTCTTGTAAATAGCTGTGCATACAAGAGTATTTCCCGCTAAAATGACGAGGCTTAAAAGGCCAAAGAACAGTGATTCGGCGATCAATGCCTCGCTTGTTGTTTCGAGTTCTGTGCTGTTAGGAGGCATGGCAGCCTTGCGCATCCGTGATTCTCACCTGGAACAAAAGCAAACAAATGTGGTTCAGTTAAGACAAGTTATTACAAACCAACCTAGCACGGACGAGTTGTTAGTGCCGGTCAATATCTGTGCTTGCTCATCCGGAATAAACAACATCTCTTTTACCCTGAAATATTTAGCCGGTTAGCAAAATCCCGGTCGAGATTATGGCCGCGTAACTTTTAGTTATAACCAGAAAGCTGAACAATGAGTGACTTCACAATACAGAGTTTGACAACAACTCTTCGACAAGTCTATCAAAGATGCACTTCTAAGGGTAAACAACTTGCGTTGTTTACCAGACACGTGTCTGTCAAAAATATTAGTTCCAGCTTTCTCAAGTACATGAGGTCAGTGGTCAGAATTTTTCATTACCAGTTCTGAATGAAGCGCTACAACTGCGTGAAATGATCGCTTCCAACTCCTTTCAAACGTAAACCATATCCTGACGCGGAAAATTGTACGATTCACTATTCATTTTATCCCCGCGTTGTCCAAATTAAACCTTTTCAGCCAACATATCTCAATTCAAATCTAAAAAAAAAACGTTGCAATCGGTAACATATTAACCTGATACCTGACATGCGGCGAATCAAGGTTCTCTTCAATTGCGTTAAATGGTGATCCCATTTAGACAAGATCGCGGCAATTGTTCAGAAAGTCTATTTCCATCAGCTTATAAAAAAGTTGTGTTGCATGTTTCAACTTACAACAGAACTCGCAGCACTGATCACCAAAACAGGTTCCTTGCACTTGATCGGCCTATAAGAATCAAGAATTGAGGTTGATTAGAGAAACAGGTCTTTCGTCAAGCCATTGAACCGTATTGTTTTCATCTCGACAATCATGTCAACAAACTTAGCTTTACGACTGAAACAAAAACAATATTTTCACTTCCCGCTGTTTTTGCAAAAATAGAAGGTTTTGCTGGAGGCTTCGAGACATCATAGAGGGAATATTATTAGTCTGTTCACATACGAAGATTTTCTAGACTGAAAAACCAGCATTTCAAAACGTAAACAGGCTAAGCGAAGATGAAAAATCTGCTTAAATATCACAAGAACTTTTCCTGTTAAAAGTCTTCTACGTATTATAAGTAATATTGACTAGAAAGCCACCGGATTCAATTTTCTGAATGCAGATGGTATTTGAGACAAACAAACGGATTATTAAAATCACTGGCGGCCGATTTGTTTTGCTTTCGTTTTACGCACAGAAAAAAAATTACTAAGGCAAATGTTTTGTTTTGGCACTGGTGCGAGTGGCAAAATATGCGATATTCTCAAGAAACCCTAAAACACAAAAATAGTGGTGCATTAATTGACCACGGAAATCAGTAACAAAAGTTATTGCATTATTATCGCTTATCAGCGGTCAGAATGATTTCAGAGAAGCTTGTTAAAAAGCTCTATCGATTGTCATGGCTGAGCAGATGTCGTGCAGATCAACTTAGAGGCCCTGAGTTTATTTTTGTGGCTTTCAGCTCATAACATTCCCTTATCATAACTGTCATAGGTTGAGTACAGTGCTTTACGAGTGACTCCTCCGCAAAGTAAAGAAAGTGAGCTCAGTAGAACTCCGAATAAAGGGGTTGTTTGGGGAACGAGGTAAAAACAAGACAGACAAGGATACATGAATTTGCATGTAAAAGCGTATTTGAACATGCTGTTGTTTGTAATGATGAAAATAGAATCTCAAACTGGTTTCTAGCAAAACATATAGCATGCAGCGTTTGGAGAACTGCACGAAAGTCAGCCGCAGAATTTATGTGCGGCACTAATGAGACTGGTCAATTTCCAAACATTCACCGCAACGTTACGCGAGTGCGCTTTCGGAATCTTCACGGAGCAGTATGCCATACATACCGTTCAAAATAGTTTTATCAAAAAGCCTCCCAACAGCTCCACAGTTTTTTCTTATAATTCTTTAGGTATTCCACATAAGAACGAGATCGCGTCGTTACGCCGCCGTACTCCGACAGTGACCTAGACTATGCAACCGAGCCGAGGAGTAAAGATAATTACGTAATTGTCTTTACATTGACGTAGGCAATGTTTTATTGATTGCGTTAAACCAAAACTAAACATTGCTAGACATGCAAGACAACGTTTACACTACGCCGGAGAAATTTGAAAACGGCGTTTTCACTCACAAAACGCATCATATGTTTTCCGTCCACAGTACGCCGGAGAAATTTGAAAACGCAGCAATCAACGGTCATTTTGGATTTGTGCTTGAGGGAAGCTAGGACCGCAGACAAATCACGTGATTATCTTGACGTCATAGTTTACGAAAAGCTCCGTTTTCAAAATGTTTTCCGTCCACACTAAAACGCAAAGCTGGCGTTTTCAAATTCCTGCAGCTTGAAGAGCGTTTTCCTAAAGCTTCGTTTTCGTGACGGATTAGTGCGGACAGTAGGCCTAACCGTTGAAATATAAGTACGTAGTTTGGACGGAGTTTTAGCGAGGCCATGACAGGGAATGGTAGGTGGCATTGGTTATCATGGCTAGTTCAAACTTACAGCCCTTACTCAGTTAGGGGTTGATATTTTCCTTTGCCAATGACTTACGTAGTCAAGGTGACAGATAGGTCACATGATGAGTTCTCGGGTGCTCTGAAATATTTTTTGGATTATTTTTGTCTCGGATTCCAGCTGTTTTCTCTCAACCCTTACATTGACCTTACGGGACTCCCTGCTAGTTACTAACGTATGCTCCCATATACCCAGTCAATTTCTAATTATCGAGTAGTTGGCAGAGTCATTTGACCGGTTTAAAGGCCTTTCCATTTGTCGATTTGACTTAAACCCTTCCATCTGTGGTACATTGCTGCACACTCTACTAAATGTACTGATCATGGCTTCATATGCCGCCCTCGCGCTAGTGCCATGAATTCTAAATTGTTCAAAACTGTACATCTGATTTGCCTTTTGCAGTTTCATTGGGGACGCAGGATTGATTTCATTTGATTTTGACTTACATATACTATTTCGACCTCATTCTAAAGCTTTGCTTACATTGAGAACGAGGTTCACGTCGAAGAAAGAACCTCTGGAGTTAACGGTAGATTGCTATGATTTGAGCTTTTCACTTTTTCAGGGCTCTCTTAACAAAGTGATTTCATAAAATGAAAATCTACCCTCCTTCTTTAATCTTCTCACAGAAGAAATGGGTAAGAAACAGTACTTGAAGAGTTCTACGCACTTTTCAATGCGCAAGCCCGCATTACATATAATTTTGTCGTGTTCCATGCATTCTTTCTTGATTATATTATTCAGCTTGAGCTTAACTCGATAGACACATTGCGATAATTGCGAACTTATAATTTAACTGAACTTGAGAAACAATGTGTATGCAGCCAGAAGATCGAGGAGGTCGTGATAAAATATCAGGTAAATGTATATTGCTTTGCATTCAGAAGGTAATATTTGTATTTCACAGCCGATAAACAGTCCTCGTTTTGGTGAAAAGGAACTTGTTTGATAAGTTTAAGCCAAAGTTTTGTCTGAATCGCT